TAGTGCCAGCTTATTATTCCAATAGTTCTGTCATGTGGGTTAAAGGACATATCGGTATTGAGTAAAACGAAAGAGCAAATCAACTTACAAAGCAAGGATCAAGCCATAATTTCTGTGGCGCAGAGTCAAGAACAGCATGACTGCAGCTTATGTCGATAAGTGGATAACATCAATTCATCTTAACAGGTGAAGACAGGTAATAGGTGACAGACTAAACTCATGATGCCGGCACCGTTGGTCAGGAAAGTGATAAAAGTATTCAGTTATCCGCAGAGCACTGTAAGTTAGCTGACCTCATTGATTACTGTGAACATAGAAACTTTAAGTATCACCTCAAAAAGATATCTTTTATTGAGGAAGACACTTGCAGAGTACATCTAGAAGAAAAGGATACAGCGGTGCATATATTATGCCAATGTCCAACACTGGCAAGCAGGAGGATGACTATCTTGAAATACCTTTGGGTTGGTGATGAGTTGGCAGCCAACCTCAATCTAAATGATGTGCTTACAATAACAAAAGATGTAATTATGCGAAATAAAGCCTCTTTAGTATTAACTCAATAATGACATCCGAGAATATGAAGGACACAAAAAGACCCAAGTCACTTCGTGGTCTATTTCGGCTAATCCCTCTTGTCGGAGGGTGCGCTGTCTCAACGTCCCACAATATATATCTATATATACGATTTGAAACGGATATTTCAATGTTTTCATTACAAAATTAGAGCTTCGAATTTTTCGCATACTATTAACTTCAGTAGTTTCGGAATCGCTTTGATAGTAGAAATTTAAATTTGCTAGGAGATCGTAAACTGATTTTGCGATTATAAGGAATCAAATTTTTTAGACTTTTCAGAATAATATTTAATACATATGTCAATTATTAAAACTTATTTAATTATTATTGGTTTTAAATTATAAGAGAAAATTCAATAAATGGTAAGAATATAGTTTATTGCAGCGTTTAACTTAAATAAATATATTTATTATATATATTTATTATAGCGTTTAACTTATTTAAATATATATCGCATATATAAAACATATTTTTTTCCTATCCACACAATCTTATTGCATTTTAATTCAGTTCAGAAAAATCTTCACCGACACTGCAACTACAATGTATTAGTAATGACATTTCTAATTATCTAACTATTAATTATCATAAAATATTTTGCTTTAAGATATTTTATAAATTTTCTGACTTTAAAATAACTTTAGACTTTAATTTATTATAATAAAAACTAAGTACATATACATATGTGTATATATTCTTGGTGATATATCCCAATTATAAACACAACTTTTTACAAACTCCATACTAGGGTTAATCATTACATGCAGCATAAAACCCAATCCATACACACCTACATTTAAAGCAATTTTTAAAAATATATACACATAAACATGGAGTAGCATTTGTTCTTGTAAAATTAAAAAAACAATTATATTATTTTTTAAAGTTGGCTACCTATAATTATTTTCATATTTAATAATCGAAATTGATCTTTAATATACTTAATTTATCATCAATTAATTTTTAAGTCAACCTATCGGATGGTGAATCGATCATTTTCCTTATTAACAAAATTTCGAAACTAAATCTGGCATGACTTACCGACGTACCAGCGTTGAACGTTAAATTAAGCTTTTCAAAAAATGTATTAAATTAATTTCATTGACATAAGCACTTTTCATTTTGATTTCATTTATATTACTTTGTGCAAAATTAAAAGAGTTTTCCATTTATTCATGTAATTTATTTTTAAATAAAAATGCGTTTGTTTACAAATACTCAACTACCGTTACCGCCTTTCGGTGACACGCTGCTGTCAAAGTTCTTATGAAGTACACTTAAAAAAATATATTTGTATTTAAATATAATTATATATAAATTAAATATATTAGTATATATAAAAAAGAAATTTATATATATTCCCAACAAATGCATTTATGTACCTATATATTATTTTAAATATATGTACATGTTTTAATATATATATATATATATTTTTGTTTTAATATTCATATATATTGTTTTAAAGAAAAAATTCGATAAAAGCGTATAGGCGAACACGATTCTATAGACTATTTTCCGAAAAAAAACTTATCATGAATGATTTTAAGTAGTCGAATTATTTTTAAAATGTTTTTTAGTTTCTCTCGTTGAAAATCGATCTCAATCGTCGATGTTATCGAGCAGCAGGAAGATAACAAATTTAAAATTATTCAACATTTTGCATTCTACTTCTCCTCTCCATATTGGCATTTGCAACAAAATAAACTTTTTTCCAAGATATAAATATAACTAATTTTAACACCTTTATATGCAACTATGTAAAATTAGGTTATTAAAATAAGTCTGTAAATCCACTTGGTTCCAAGAACGGCCTGGTCTACATACTGGAGCCACACGTCACCAGCAACGACCAAGTGCAGTTTAACACCTAGCAAAGAAACTTCACAAGTAGGTCTCAACGAGTTACAAAAACAACATGAATACATATAGGTTTACTACGCCATTGTATCGACGTATAAACCTTATGGTGAAAAATCACTTTAAGCTATTCATAAAGCAACTGACTATCTTTAAAGCGAAATCTTACTGCTGACTAAGATCATCTAGAAAGTAAATCCTAGTATGCTTCATCAACGCGTCTTATGTACTCCACAATTACAAAGCAATTGTTAATATATTTCATCCTCTTACAGCTATGACATTTACAATTCAAAACTTTGTCTATATTTTTTTACGTTATAATTTTAAAAAAACATGGAAAGTGCAAATAACAAATCTATATTTATTATTTACAGAAAGCACACAAATTCTGCAAAACCTCAGTATTTTAAACACGAATAATCAAGTTTATATGCTTGATATGCAATTCGATTAATAAGTTAAAAAAATAAATTAATAACATAGTTAATTTTTAGAGTTTTAACACTAACTTAAATATATTATTAATTGCTGAACTCTAATCACAAATCGCAGTGTATGTAAGAACTAACACAAAATGTGAAATCTAGCCAAAAATGACAAATACTGCTCGATTCGGTTAACTTAAATTTATTAACATTTTTTATACTTATTATTTATAATATAAATTATTGCCATAACAAGCTAAGCAAAGTTAATGGTGGCATTCCCGGTTCGGCTCCCTTTCGAAATCCTAAGAAGAAGCAAATTTTATTTACATAAGTAAGCACAAACGTTCATTCGGCAACTTACCCAGATACAGCACAAATGGTATAAAACCATAATGGAAAGTCGTCTTAGCAATTTCGAATACAAATTCGAGACGTTCTTTAGCATCGTTAGACATTGCCATTTTGCAAACAAATATAGTTTTTAATTAAAAAAAAGTATCAAAAACAACGAGACCTTCGGATCCAACGTTCCTTAATCAGAAGCACGTCAAGTAAGAGAAGGAAACATATGATTTTGTGGACTTTCTTCAGAGTTGCAATTGACAATTAATTGTGTGGATCGTATTATTAATATTGCGACAAATTTAATCTCACACAACTAAGATAATAATATACTCAGTTAAAGTAATTTTAAAAAAAATTTTTAACCGTAATTCATTAAGAATATTAAATAAAATAATACATTTATGACGTCATCTATTTTCGTATAGAAAAATGGTTTATAGTGAATACATATTTTAACTACAAAAATTTACATTCACTTAATTAACATATGTATATATATTGGGCTGAATACCATATAGGTCAAATTAATACGATGCTGAGTGTTGGCTGGCGCCATTACTGAAATTACTTGTGCATGTTTCTGTTACACAGCTGTTTCGAATATTGCCAAATATTTATCATTAGTCGTCTATAGAAATATTTGAAAGAAATTAAATGCGTTTTAATTAAAAACGTTAAACACACAAACTCAAAAGATGGATCTGTCCGAAATCCATCTTAAGTATTGTATTGGGAGACCGTAAGCAACATTTCTGCTCAATTGTTTGTTTTTTGGTCAAGTCATGTAAGTTGTTTGCCCTGCTGAAGCTTACTGATTATATATGCTGCAACAAATTTCATCAATTTCAACTTCTAGCTACTTTACATATGTTCCATACATTATTCTAGATTATTATAACTTCTTGAAAAAATTTTTTAATATATGGTAAATTTTCTATAAAAACTATAAATTCAGAATACCGTTCATCACATCTTACACTTAACTCTAGTTCCTTGAAGTGAAAGGATTACTTCGTGTTTAGCGTTGTCAATATACTGCCAAAACCACTCATTTTTAGAGTCTGTGTTCATTTAAAAATTCAATACATGAATAAATACAAAACACAATCGTTAAAATAAAAGCAAAAAGTTATAAGACAAATGCAAGAAAAATACAACATTGTTAAATACTACTCATTTAGCAATAACTAGTGATGTTAAAAGTTTGAAAATTATGGTCGTGTGCGAGTTCAAGTAAATTGAGGTAGAGTAAATTGAAATATCCTTGGGATTTTTTGCACTGCACTTATGTAAATATATATTTATTGCACTTATTTATTATTTTTGTTTAAAACTTTTAAAATTTTTATTTATTTATTAAACATCTTATAAAATATTCACAATGGTAACACCTAATTTACATAGTTTTAATTTATCCTTCTCGAAATTCTGGTAAATACCAACATTCGTTGCCATATCGACATAATTTACTATTTCCCTCAATTTAACTTTAATTTACTCGAACTCACACGCATCCTTGACCACCAAAAGATATTCTATTGGAGCATTTAAGTCAAAAGATGTTAAAAACCCATGCCGCCTAAATTATGTAAACCCAACATGGCAACCCATGAATGTGTTAAAAATTATATATACGTTAGACAACACTAGCAAAGATTAAGTTCCACACTTGACATTTATATGTTCTTACTTGTGTTGCTAGTCTCGCAGAAAAATACATTAAATTTCATTGTTTCTTTGTGATTAAAATTGTTTATTGCATGCAAAAGCAGTGTTAATGTGTAAATAAAAACAAATTAAGATTATTAAAATTACAGACAGTTTTGATTACATTTCGTAAATCAAGATAAATATCAAAACTATTTTTGCTGTGTTTTGCCGGTAAATGATTTTGACAGTTCCAACATATGCACGTTTTAAACAATATCACTTAAATACTTTAATATTCATTGATTTAATCTTTAGGGAATTATTTGTTAATATGAAAACAATAAATACTGCTTATGCAGTCTTCAGTTGCTGTACTTTAAAAGATAATGGAGTTATTGCCTGGAGTAAAGATATTGAGTAAGTTTTGTTTGTGCGAAAATACTTTAAACATTTTATTGTAAATCTTTATCAATTATTGTGTATTTTTGTTTGCAGCAAATTGGTGAAAATTAAAGGCTAAATAATGACAAAACGCATTCAAATGGACCGTAGAAATATGTCACAAGTTGGACAGTGTTGTCCTGCTTGCTCTAAAAACGGCAAATCTCACTTCTTAATTCCAAAAAATATTTTAAGATGTGAGAATAACGAATGTTTTTACGTTACGGAAGCTAACGTTCATGTTTCTAATACTGTAAATTTGCCTGGTGCAGTAGCTTCAAGGGATGACCAGTCAATAAACAACCATACAAAGTATGTACTTTTGAACAGCAATCATAAATTAAATCCAAACAATTTGTTGACTCCTCTTAAAGAAATTCAAGATGACTTCAAGCCTAATATGGACATAAAACTAATTCCAAATAATTATTTTAATGAGCAATATTTCAATTTCAAAGATCAATATGATAGTGAAATAAATATTGCAGCTCATGCTTTAAAAAATGAAATTTTTTTTGTTAATGCTTGCATAAGTCAAGCTGGTGATATCTGTCCAAAATGTTATAGAGAAGGACGCACGAATAAGTTATGTATTTTTTATATAGAAACCAATTTTGCAATCCTGAGATGTGAAGACATTAATTGCCTATATCCATTATTTGCCGAAGCTGCTATAAAAAATCAAAATGATAAAAGTTTAAACGCTATGAACTCAAACAACAATGCGGAATATCCAAAAATAAAAAAATTTCAACTGAAAACTTGTAGTGAAGTTAGTCTGGTAAGCAAAATCATGAAATCAAAACGAAATTTTATTTTTCCCGCCAACAATAATTTTTCAAGCGCTTTGCCATTAGATAAAGAAGGAAAACGTGTAGTCAAGTTTTCAATAACGGTGCGAGCATCTGTCAGTGGTATCTTTTCTAATGGTAAAACGAATATTAACATGGAAACTGAAGATTTAAAAACAAATGACGCTCATGCTAAATATTTAAATAACTTACGTATGTCGGTGATTGGTGACAAGTTGGAAATTACACAAAAAAATTTAAATGAAGATTCAAGAGTCTTTCCAACAAGCAATCACGAGAATAATGTTAATTTTATGGAATCAAACTTAGTTCCAAACTCATTAAAACTTACGAGAACAGCAAAATCCAGTCTCTTATCACCTAAGTCATGCTCAGTTTACACGAATACGAGTTCAGAAAATCAAGTTGTAGATTCCAGACAAATTTCGAAAACTAACAATATTAAGTCTTTCAATTCAAACAGTTCATCAGTAATATCTGGTATCAATCATAACTGTAATAAGAATAAAGAAATTAAGGCAAACCTTAACATTTCTAATGAACGTCCAGTGTTTTCTATTTCAAATATTAACTCCAATTATGACACTGTAACTAGAACAGCTAATGATTTTTCGAAGTTAACAAATCAATCAACACATAAAGCAAAACACTTGAAAAGGTCACGTGAAGAATCCGAAAGCGAAATATCCAACAAAAAATATAAGAAAGATGTAAGACATAACTTTCATGGAAGTAATGCAATTAAGGCGAACCCCAATATTCACGAGCCGTCAGTGTTTTCTGTATCAAATATAAACCCTAATTATGAGTCTGTATCTAGAACAGTTAATGAGTTCACAGAGTTGATATGTCAATGGATAAAAACAGCAAATCACTTGAAAGGATCACCTACAAAATCTGAAGGTGACATCTCCGGTGGAGAAAACGAAATACGGATGATGGAGTCACTGAGCCTACCTGTAATATCTGATAAAAGTCATGACTTTAACGGAATATATGAAACAAGGTTTTCTGTATCAAATGAAAACACTGATGATCCTGTTGTTGTAAAGGCTAGTAGTTATTCTGAATCGATAGATCAACGAAGGAAACCAGTAGCACACTCAAAGAGGCCTTTTAAAAAACGCAGAAGTCAATCCGTTTGTGGAGAAAATGAAATTCGCAAGATAAAATCATCTAACCTACCTGATTTATTTGATAACAATTATGGATTTAAAGGAAGAGACGAAATTGCTGTACAATTAAAAACGTGTGATGCGCAGCAAAGGGTTTCTGTATCAAGTAAAAAAACTGATCCCATGGCTACAAAGCCTAATGGTTATTCTGAATCGATAGATCAACAGATGAAACCATCAACACACTCGAAATGGTCACGTACAAAATCTAAAAGTGACACCTCCGGTGAAGAAAATGGAATACGAATGACGGAGTCACTGAGTCTACCTATAATATCTGATGAAAGTCATGACTTTAACGAAATATATGAAACAAGGTTGCAATCAAAAATTCGTGATAACCATCCAGGGTTTTCTACATCAAATGAAAACAGTGATGATCCTGTCGTTAGAAAGGCTACTACATATTCTAAATCGATAGACCAACGGAGGAATCCAGTAGCACACTCAAAGAGGCCAATTAAAAAACCCAGAAGTCAATCCCTTTGTGGAGAATATGAAATTCGCAAGATGAAGTCACCTTCACGTGGCTTACCTGATTTGTCTGATAACAATTATGAATTTAATGGAATAAACGAAACTGCTGTACAATTAAAAACTTGTGATGAGCAGCAAAGATTTTCTGTATCAAATAAAAACACTGATGATCTTGTCGCTATAAAGGCTAGTGGTTATACTGAATCGATAGATCAACAGATGAAACCATCAACACACTCGAAATGGTCACATACAAAATCTAAAAGTGACACCTCCGGTGAAGAAAATGGAATACGAATGGTGGAGTCACTGAGTCTACCTATAATATCTGATGAAAGTCATGACTTTAATGAAATATATGAACCAAGGTTACAATCAAAAATTCGTGATGAGCATCCAGGGTTTTCTACATCAAATGAAAACACTGATGACCCTGTCGCTAGAAAGGCTACTACATATTCTAAATCGATAGATAAACGGAGGAAACCAGTAGCACACTCAAAGAGGCCAATTAAAAAACCCAGAAGTCAATCCCTTTGTGGAGAATATGAAATTCGCAAGATGAAGTCACCTTTACCTGGCTTACCTGATTTATTTGATAACAATTATGGATTTAATGGGATAGACAAAACTGCTGTACAATTAAAAACTTGTGATGGACAGCAAAGATTTTCTGTATCAAATAAAAATACTGATGATCCTGTCGTTATAAAGGCTAGTCGTTATTCTGAATTGATAGATAAACGGATGAAATCACCAACACCGTCGAAATGGTCACATACGAATTCCAAAAGTCCATCTGTTTGTGGAGAAAAGGAAATTCGCAAGATGAAGTCACCTTCACCTGGCTTACCTGATTTGTCTCATAACAATTATGGACTTAATGAAATATACAAAACTGCTGCAGAATTAAAAACTTCTCTATCAAATAAAAACACCGATGATCCTGTCGCTAGAAAGGCCAGTGGTTATTTTAAATCGATAGATCAACAGATGAAACCATCAACACACTCGAAATGGGCCCATACAAAATCTAAAAGTGACACCTCCGGTGAAGAAAATGGAATACGAATGATGGAGTCACTGAGTCTACCTGTAATATCAGATGAAAGTCATGACTTTAACGAAATATATGAAACAAGGTTTTCTGTATCAAATGAAAACACTGATGATCCTGTCGCTATAAAGGCTAGTGGTTATTCTGAATCGATAGAGCAACAGATGAAACCATCAACACACTCCAAATGGTCACATACGAATTCCAAAAGTCCATCTGTTTGTGGAGAAAATGAAATTCGCAAGATGAAGTCACCTTCACGTGGCTTACCTGATTTGTCTGATAACAATTATGAATTTAATGGAATAAACGAAACTTCTGTACAATTAAAAACTTGTGATGAGCAGCAAAGATTTTCTGTATCAAATAAAAACACTGATGATCTTGTCGCTATAAAGGCTACTGCCTATTCTGAATCGATAGATCAACGGATGATACCAGGAGCGCCATCAAAGAGGTCAGTTAAAAAACGCAGAAGTCTATCCGTTTGTGGAGAAAATGAAATTCGCAAGATGAAGTCACCTTCACGTGGCTTACCTGATTTATTTGATAACAATTATGGATTTAATGGAAGAGACGAAACTGCTGTACAATTAAAAACTTGTGATGGACAGCAAAGATTTTCTGTATCAAATAAAAACACTGATGATCTTGTCGCTATAAAGGCTAGTGGTTATACTGAATCGATAGATCAACAGATGAAACCATCAACACACTCGAAATGGTCACATACAAAATCTAAAAGTGACACCTCCGGTGAAGAAAATAGAATACAAATGATGGAGTCACTGAGTCTACCTGTAATATCAGATGAAAGTCATGACTTTAAAAAAATATATGAAACAAGGTTTTCTGTATCAAGTGAAAACCCTGATGATCCTGTCGCCATAAATGCTAGTGGTTATTCTGAATCGATAGATCAACGGAAGAAACCATCTACACACTCGAAATGGTCACATACAAAATCTAAAAGTGACACCTCCGGTGAAGAAAATGGAATACGAATGGTGGAGTCACTGAGTCTACCTGTAATATCTGATGAAAGTCATGACTTTAAAGAAATGTATGAAACAAGGTTTTCTGTATCAAGTAAAAACCCTGATGATCCTGCCGCTATAAATGCTAGTGGTTATTCTGAATCGATAGATCAACAGATGAAACCATCAACACACTCCAAATGGCCACATACAAATTCCAAAAGTCAACCTTTTTGTGGAGAAGAGGAAATTCGCAACATGAAGTCGCCTCGCTTACCTGATTTATTTGATGTCAGTTATGACTTTAATGGAATATATGAGGCTACGGTACAACCAGAAATTTGTAATAAGCATCCAGAATTTTCTGTATCAAATAAAAACACTGATTACAAGTCTGTAACTAGAAATGTTAATGGCTTTTCTGAATCGATAAATCAATGTACAAAAACAGCAACATACACAAAAAGTTTTCGTAGAGAATCCGAAGACCACGCTTCCGGTAGAGAAAATGAAATATGTAAGATGAAGCCACGTAACCTATCTGTTGACAGTCATAGAAAAAAAGAAATTGGAGTGCAATTACAAGTTTGTGATGAACATCTAGCGTTTCCTATATCAAATATAAACTTTAATTATGAGTCCGTAAAAAAGAATGCTAATGCTATTTCTATTTTTGATCCAATTGAAGAACAGACACAAACTACAGAACATATAGAAAGCTTCTCAGATATATCCTCTATGCTATCTGATGCCAGTCAGGTCATTACTATAAAAGAAAACATTGTGAATCGTACAGAAATTTTTGATACACATCCACATTCCTTCAGCTTTAATAAATCTTACCAATCAGCCAACCAAACTATTCCTGATTTAGGTGAAACGTTTTCTGTATCAGTTAATAAAAATTTAAATATCCAGTCTACGAATACAGGAATGAGTGGATCGTCTGATCATACTTACTTTAAGGATTGTAATAAGATAAAAAGAGTGCGTGAAACAAAAATAGTTCAATCTAAAGCTTGTGGTGAACTTCAAGGGTTCACTATATCAACTATTAAAAAACCAAATGCAGAGTCTTTAACAACTAAAGATATTTCTGCTAATGATAATCATTTTGGACATCATTCAAGTTATGGTAATATCAAGATAGATATGCCATCGTTTGGTCCCCAAATTTCTGATGGAACTTTAGCAAATAACATTTCTGGAACAAATAACATTTCTGTAACAAGTAACATTTCTGGAACAAATAACATTTCTAGAACAAATAACATTTCTGGAACAAATAACATTATTACAGATACTAAGCCAGTGGCAAAAACTCAACAGCGTAAAAAACGTAAAAGGAAGATTAAGCTCTCTAAAGACCCGGTAGAAGTAATTCCACTTGTATATAATAAAAAAATACAGTCAGCCACTAATAAACTAGTGGAAAGTCCTATGAGTGACAGCAAAAAATTATCAAATCTTACCGCAGGTAAATCTGAAACATTTAGCAATAAAGCGTATGCAGCCAAATGCGACATGTCCTATAAATGTCCTATGTTAAATGAACCTATAACAAATTCCCTCAATAACAACAGAAAGACAAGAACAAATACTGAAACTGAAGAAGGAAGTACATTTAAAATTCCGAATGTTTTTGGGCCACTGAAAATTAGAGCTATAAAAAATGAAGAAATTTCCAAGCAAAGTAATAACATTGAAAACATTAAAAATACTAAAAAAGGTAAAAGTAAATATTAATTATGATTAAAAACCACTTACGAAACTATAAAAATTTTTTATTCTTTTTTACAGGTTCCAATGAATCATTAACCAATTCAACAAGTGAGGATAGTAAGACTGATTTTGAGCAAATTATTGATATAAGTGATGATTTTGATATAATGAAGATTATAAATGAACAAAGTACTGATAAAATGTCAGATTCGATGTATGATGACTTCCTTAATGTGCTGAGCACTGAATTTTATACATCAGATGAGACGATAAAAAACGATCAATCAAAAAGTGCAGATATACAGACCGCTGATTCAAATGAAGTGCAAATAATGGAAAAAACATTCGACACTATAAGCTTTGAAAACATGGATAACATAATGAAACATAATGAAAATAATAATATTACAGTAATTGTTCCACAAGATCAGATAGTAAAAAGCGATCAAGTAGCAAATGAAGATATTAAAATTTCAGTTTCGTATGATATAAATGAACATATGTCCTATTCTATAAATTTTGCTGATTTAAATAATACAATTTCTACAAATGCTGAAAATTGTAATAGTAAGAACGATACTTTAAATGAGCAATTCGATATAAATAAACTAGATATTATTAGTAATATCCAACTAATAGAACCAACGACTGAACAATCTCTTGAAAACACAATTACAGTATTAAAGACGGAAACGCTGGAAAACAATTCAAATAAGAGTGAAGGATTGGCAATTTACATGAGTAAAGTGGTTGATAATGAAACGGTTTATAGTAGAAAAGGTCGAAAAAGATCACGTTTAAGTGGCAGTACTCCTTCCATTCCCCAACCAAACGATGATTTAAAGCTTGAAACTCTTAAAAATATTGTGTCCACAAAAAAAAAACTTTTCAAAAAAAAGCTATGAAAAGAGGAACTTAAGTTATATATAATATATATATAATTATGTTAAATAATTATAAGTTATTTCACTTTTTAAGAATGTAAAAATAAAACATAGACTGTAACCAATAAAATACACATTTAGTCGTGTTATAACTCAAAAAATTCTACTAGCAGTAGTAATAAATAATTAATAATAAGTGCTATTGAAAATAATTATGGCAATGCTAAGCCATATAATAATGATAATTAATAATATATTATAAAATAATATAATTAAAAATATATTGTAAAACAATATAATTAATAATATATTATAAAATATTATAATTAATAATATATAATAAAATAATATAATTAATAATATATTATAAAATAATGTAATTAATAATATATTATAAAATAATATAATTAATAATATATTATAAAATAATATAAATAATAAAATAATATAAAGTAATATAATTCATAATATATTATAAAATAATATAATTCAATAATATATTATAAAATAATATAATTAATAATATATTATAAAATAATATAATTAATAATATATTATAAAATAATATAATTAATAATATATTAAAAAATAATATAATTAGAAATATATGCAAAATAATTATGATGTTATTATAAAATAATATAATTATAAATATATGAAGAATAATTATTACAATACTATTATCATAAAATAATTATAATTAATAATATATTATAGAATAATATAATTAATAATATATTATAATATAATATAATTAATAATATATTTTAATAATAATATAATTAATAATATATTATAAAATAATATAATTAATAGTATATTTTAAAATAATATAATTATAAATAAATGTAAAATAGTTCTGATAATGTGAACCATATAATAATGATAAAAAGTTATATATTATAAAATAATATAATTATGAATATATAAAGAATAATTATTACAATACTATTATCATAAAATATTGATAATTAATAATATATAATAAAATAATATAATATAAAATATATAATGAATTTGAAAACTATAAAAAATGGATAGTAGAAAGTTTATAGCAGTAAAAAAGTAACTATAAAAAAGTTAAACAATTGATTTATTTAACAAGTAACTATAAAGACGAAATATGAACTTTCGAAAATGTCAGAACCAAACATAAGACATCACTTATCCCACCTATACTGGCAGAAACCGAAAACGCGTTTAAATCTTAAAAAAAAATACGAAGGTCTAAGCACAAACTCCTTTTGCATTAACCACGTCAACTTTCCATCATAATGCAACAACATTGGAAAATGAAGATACTAACTAATTAGTAACTAATTAAAATAAAAGAATTTCAAATGAAATGAATTAAAATTAACTATATTAAATTAATTTTATTGAATGTTAAAAGTAAAATACTTTAAATGCTGTTATCGTTTTTAATTATTTTTATATTATATTTATTTATTTCATTTATTTTTAATTATATAATTTGAATATACATATGTTATGAAATAAATTTGTAATGCCTAATAAACTAAAAACAAATTAATTAAAAAAAATTTATATTAACCCAAGTGAACCATTAATTCAATGAATCCATTAGTAAATTTTCTATCTAAGTTTTCATTTATAATATTGATATAATGCGTGGTCTTTTGTTGCTGTGGTAGCCCATGGATGCCATTGTTACCTAGACTTCCAAGCAACTAACTGTTAAAAAATGATTTGGTTATTGTTGTCACTGATCACTTCAATGGGGTGGGATAAGAGATCGATTGAATTGGTTGTGTATGCGGTTGCGTAGGAGAACAGGTGCATGACGTCATGAGGGTTGAGCTGCAGTTTGGACACACATTAGGAATAGATGTGTTTATGCGTGACAAGTAACTATTTCGCACATGACTATATCCTGATCTTAACAGTTTTTGCTGTCGTCGTTTTTCCTGAGAAAGGTTAGCACGACCTATTGAGAATCTTGTTATAGGAAAACTATGGTCTTGATGAGGATACAGCATTTGCGTAGAGCGCTATAACTCTACAAGCATATCATAGTTCTTGATATTATGATATTTGCTATGGTTGCAGTGCTTAACTTCACTAGAATCCCAGAACTCTGTTATATTCAAATCTTCATATTATAAATTAATCTTATTAATTTTCGTATTTTATCTATTTTTTCGCTAGGTTTTCCAAAGAGCTATGGATTTCCAACTGTCTCACATCGCTTATAGTTGGTTACTATAACCAACTATATGAAATCAGGTATACTATATCCAAGCACAAAGATGAAATACGATAAACTTAAGGATTCCGATTATTTTATAAAAAAACTACGTTCAAATTGACGAACTAAACATCGTGTCATTTATATTATTTAACATTAATTTATTTATTTGAATATTTAAAATTTATATTCGTTAATCAAAGACTTTTTATGAACTTTTTGAACTACAGTATTTTTAGTTTTTATATATATTTTATAGCTCAACACCCGTTTTGCAGCAATTTTGCAAGTATCGCATGGCTGCGCCGTTAATTATGTTAAATAATTAGAGAGGGGCAGATTCGGTATCATCGGGTGTTAACTTATATAAATAAATAAATTTATATATACAAATATAATATATGTAAACAAATATATTTAACTTAATATATGTATATAATATAATATATGATAATATAATATATATAAATATATTTAGATATAATAATATATTATATATATAATTTGTGTTTAAAAATATATATAAAATAAAAACTGTATTTAAAGTTCACGAGAAGCCTTTAAGTAACGAAATTATGATTAACAATAATAGACAATAAATTAGTTTAAAACAAGAGTATAATCTATTGCCATAGCAAGCTCAGTAAAGTTAGTGGTGGCATTCCTGGTTCTGGACCTTTCCGAAAACCTATAAAATAAATTGTTTTTATGTAATAATTTTAAATTAAGAATTGCGGGCAAAATCATTAACTTACCGAGATAAAGCACAAATGGCATAAAACCATAGTGGAAAGTTGTTTTGATAATGTTGAAAATAAACTCTAAACGGTCTTTAGCATCATTGGAAAGTCCCATTTTATTTTTTGTTTTATCTTTAATTAAACAATTTCCAAAATAAAAATTATCTTCAATTTGTTTATTTTGAAAACAATCACCTCCTGAGCAAAAGTGGAACAAAAAATCGATTTTGTGGAATTTATTTAGTTAAATGAAATTAGTGTTGCCAGATAATTTTTTTATTACTTCCTCATCATATACCATGTTAACTTAAGTTTTAAAATCAATTTTAAGAGAATTTGCACACAAATTCGCAATGTGTTGTTGTATTGGATTCACACGAGAGTTTTGATTGTAATTTATCTGTCATTTGAAATTATTCTTGATTTCGATAGCGAAATAAATTCTAATCAAGGAGATTTGCATGGGAATTTTGACAGCTGAAAATATAATTAAATCGTAATATCTTAAAAATCGAAAAGATTTTAACTTGGACAGTTCATCGTAGTACAGTATAAATTTATGCTATTGTGAAATAAAACTGCTATTTATCATATATATATATATATATATATATATATATATATATATATATTATATAGGTATGCAAGATAAATATTTTGTTAAAGTTGTTAAAAAGTGCAGACATATTATAAGTCTGATAGTCAAACTACAAGCACAAGTCGTGTGAATCGATGTTTTTGCTTTTTGATTCCAGAAGTCAATTTTTTTGACAGCTAATAGCACATTAACACTGCTTTAATTACAACTACTTATGAGGATGATTTTATATTAAAATCTTTTATATAAATGAGCTCATTGTCAATAAAACAGCTTATTTAAAACGGAAATTGTCGAATGCAACCCTTAAAAATAAATTTTCCACAAAGGAAATTACCAAATTGTTGAAATATTTGTCACATATTTCATATATAATATGTAAACAAATAAACAGCTGAACCGTAAACAAAGTACTTAATAAAATCTTTATTTTTATTAATTGAATATGTGATTGATATATAAAATGTATATACATAATTAAGTATATCAATTATATACTTATTTTTTTTGTGTGAAGTTTTAAGTGAAGTTTATAGAAAGAAGTTTATAAAACTTCTATCAGTTGCATAAATGTGCTCATTAAAATGTGAACATTCACTCATTAATATAAATGAGCAGGTGCCTAAATGAAACAGTCTGAATGTATTATAAAGTTACAGATAGAACTTTCGTGAGAATCCAGTATTAATAGATATGTGGCGATCACATTGTGGCTAGAGTGTTATTTATAATTTTTGCGTTCGCATGGCCACCTGTTGCCAAACAACCGGTAGCAGATGAAGTAGACAAACAGATAATTGTTATGTGGAAAGAAAAAAAAAGAAGTAGAACTGAAACACGTTTTTTTTTATAAAAGTCTATTGTATTATTTTATTGTGTATTATATATAGTAAAACAGCAGTAACTATAACATTAATCAACGCAACCCATCTAGCATGATGTGAAAATGAAAGTACAAACAGCGCATAGTCTCAGAAGCAAAAGAAATTAACAATATTTGGATGTAAAATAATAAATGATTGCAAAATAATAAACATTTACAATATTTATTTGAAAGTGTTTTATCTAGGCCGTATGCGAGCTCGAGTAAATTGCTGGTAAATTGTGGGAAATAGTAAATAATGTCTGCGTGGCAGGATTTTGGTATTTACCGGAATTTCGAGTAGGGTAAATAAGATAATAATTAGGTAAATTAGGTATTACAATTGTGAAATTTTTATAAGATGTTTAATAAATAAATAAAAAATTTGAAAACTTTAACCAAAAATAATATATAAGTACAATAAAAAAATAAATATATATTTACATAAGTGCAGTGCAAAAAATCCCAAGGGAATTTTAATTTACTTTTCCTCAATTTACTCGAACTCCAACACGGCCTTAATAATAAAGTGGTAATACAGAAGTACCACAGGTATATGTGTCTCGCAATGTACGGCACCGTAGCAGTGTGGGCATATCTGTACTCGTGTAATTGAAAAAGGTAACCCTTTTGTATTATGTTGTACCATCCACAGTCCACAATCCACATTTAGAATGTAAAAACTTTTTCATATGTTTTTTGTGCTGTCAGATTATTGTTCCTTTTGCTTCATACAACGTGAAGTCGAAGACGTATTGTCTGCATAATTCGACTTTTCAAATTAGTTTCTTAAATTAGTTTCTGTGAAAAAGTTGCTTAATTAATTAAAAGAATAAGTATGTATAATTTTTTTTTATATTTTGTCTCTTTTGTGCGCTTTTCTTTGTAATAATTTGAAGACGTAATAGTGAATAAAAGTGTTGTTGTTATATAATCAAAACTGCTTTGGAACGGGAAGAAAAAGTTTATTTTTGACATTTCAAGGATAAACTCAAGTAAAAAATAATATAAAAAATAAAAATATTGAAAATAATTTTTGTTTGAATAATTTACTGCATTTTGAGAAGCAGTTTTGATATTTTTATAGCGTCGTGCGACTTCAAGTGATTATAAATAGATTTAATATACAGAAAATATAAATAATAATATAAACAAAAATTAATAAAATATATATTTTGTTTATTGCAGTTGAAGTCTGAAAATTAAAAAAAATATGAAAAGTTCCATAGTTCGTGCTTACGCTTTTCGTTTGAAATTAGGACAGGTAAGTTCAATTAATTTTTATTAATTAAAATAAAAAATAATAGGAGTGCAAATCCTATATGAACATTGCGTGTACCAAAAATACATGGAAGCTCTTCTCTTCTGCTTCCGCACAAAATGCATTGCCTTCGGTTGGTGTGTTTTTGCCTTAAGTTATCGAATAAGAAAATTAAATATTTTTAAAAAGTTTGATTTGTTATATTTTGTATAGTTTTTTTAACAAAAGATGGTAAGACTCAACGATAAGCAGGCATCCGATAAAAGAAAATCAAACTCTCTCATTGAGATGTCCGGTAGAGATATGAGTCTTGTAGCAGGTTTACTTACTGGTCATTGTATTTTAGGAAACCACACTAGGAGACTAAATCTCCCTTTCAACCATACCTGCCGCAGTTGTGGAGAGGACGATGAAACTGCGCCTCCCATCTGCTTTGTGGCGTCGCCTTATCACTTATTTTCTTTTTTGAGAATCAGGGCGAACTGCAAGACCAAGATTTAAGGATTCTAAGAGGTTCTAATTCTTGAGTTTTTAATTATACGGTAACACAATGGGCCTCAAGGTCCATTCAAGGTGTATCCCTTGAAATCTCCCGTATTACCCAACTTAATCTAAGCGATGCATTCTTCAATTGCAGAGCCGTGTGTTTCGGCGCTATCTCTACGCTGACCAATGCGGTCCTTTTAGGTTGTTTCTGGTTTATGTATGAACATTATATGCTTTGGATTGTTATATGCTTTGGTGTACAAGACAGTCACTCCAACCTAAGCGCATCATTCAATGTGAATTAATTTCGATGCAAAATATGGAAATGCAGAGAATCAGAAAAGTTATGGTAGAGCGCCTTTTTCAAGAATAGATGTGAAGCTTCTTTTTAGATAAATCTTTGTTGCCATTAGTAATTTAGCTAAAAACATTTAATGTTTAATAAGTTTTTTTAGAAATTTCTGATATTAATCAGTAGGTATTACCTATACTAAAGGTACAGTTTGGGTATCATTATTTTATATATTACTGCAACCTGATGATTTAATTATAAAGTATTAAAATTCTTTAGATGAGCGGGTTGGTAATATAATGTGTTATTTTCTGTCTCAATTTTATTTTGTAGAGTAGCCATAAGTCGCAAAGCGCCAGGCCAGATAAATAAACGGTATATTATTGATACAATATTGCCGTTTTTGATCGAACATTTATGAATCGTAATTTATGATGATGTTTTATCGACAAATAAAAACCAACTGACTAGCTTTCAATGTTAAAATTTTAAAGAGCCAATATTGTAATTTTCGCAATAGTCTCTTTCCATGGGTCTACCATACCGCATTGTGATATTTTCCTTTTGGTCTATATAAGAAACACCATTCTTCATTATCAGTTACAATTATAGATATACTTGACGGTTTCCATCAAAAAATTTTTAAAATGTCTTAGTGATGCTTAGCTTTCTTGTTAGGTTGTCGTCCGTCAGATTGTGTCTTATAGACCACGCATAGATTTTTCGTTTGCTGAAATTTTTGCGTATTTTTCGGTATATCACCCTAGTAAATACCCAGCATCGCAATGAAGTATTTTTTTTTTAACTTTCTGGGTGTTTTTTTTATTGTGAGTGGTTTTTAGAGATGGTGTTCGATCATTTTTTCCAAGGTCAACACAACCGTCTCTGAATCGGCCAAACAAACGAAAAGTCTGTGTGCATGACATGCATTCATTCCCGTACATTGGCATTCCATTTATTTGTGTGTCATATTTATATAATTTAGTAGAGAATTTAATATTCACAATTTATCCGATCTTGTTTTTTTTACTTTCACCGACATATACAAATTGACAAGACATAAATATCATCGAAATCTTAAGTGATTTTCATCAAATTTTAATAACAAGTAGACAAAATGTACACCATTCACTCAAAAATATCGTCGTGCTAAGAATATTAAGTCTAATCTTATACTGAGACTAATACTTATTGCCATTTAATCATAGATGTCGCTGTGCTAAGAATATTGTGGCGTTCACTTTGCCATCTACCGGCAAAGGGAAACCAAAAATGACATTTTTGGGTTTAGGTTAAGCAGCCAACTTCAAGTTGACGCTAGTGAGAAATAAAATAGTGAATGAACAATCTAAACGTGTTTTTTATTTGTTTAATAAACTTATGGTATAAGGCCATAAATTGGTGACCCCGTCAAAAAAAAAAAAACTTCAAGGAAAACGCAAAATGCAAGAAACTGAACATGCAGAGACTCCAACAGAGGCAAATAAATTCCGGCCTATGGAAGCGGAAGCGTCGGCAGTGCAAGCGATTGGGCAAATGAAGTTGCCAAACTTCTTGACCAAGGACCCAACGTTATGGTTTGCGCAAATTGAGGGCCTACTACATATGAGCCGAGTCACAGCAGATTTATCAAAGTTCTACACAGTAATTACTGCGCTGGATGCAGAAACGCTGCAACAAGTTGCGGATATTGCAAAAAATCCTCCTGAAACAGGCAAATACGACAAATTAAAGAAAGAACTAATTTCTCGTTTTTCAGAATCGTCAGAAAAGCAGCTCATAAAGCTACTCACCGGTCTGGAACTTTCGAACAAAAAACCAAGCCAACTGGTACGTGAAATGCGCACATTAGCAGGCGCAAATGTCTCAGAGGAGGCATTAACAACACTGTGGCTGCAACGTATGCCAAACAGTGTAAGATGCATTCTATCAGCATGCAAAACCACAAGTATTGATGAGCTAGCAGAAATTGCTGATAGAATATTAGACAACAGTCCAGTACCATCTTACGTAATGACTACAAACGCCAACAAATCAAATGACAAGTTGGAAGCCCGCGTAACAACATTAGAAAGTTCGGTCCAACAAATAAATCAGCAGCTTATCAACATAGCAGCAACTTTAGACAGATTGGAGAAACGAGACAATCGTGGTAGAGACAACAGCCGCAGCCGCAGCAGTTCTTGCAGACGTGAGAAAGTCTGTTACTACCACATAAAATTTGGTGCAGCAGCGACTAAATGTAGCCAACCGTGCGAGTTTGGCAAACGTAAAAGCGAGAATCGACAGGGAAACTAGCGAGGCTGTCGTCATCAAACACGGTTGGCGACAGCATAAAAAACCAAGAGCTACGTTTACATGTGTATGACAGAAAAAACAACATTAATTTTCTAATTGATTCTGGGTCAGCTATATCACTACTTCCACTACCAGGCATCAATCCAAAAAGTAAAATGCAACCAGACGATTTAGTTCTTTATGCAGCGAACAACACTGCAATCAAAACTTTTGGCAACAAGCAACTAGCAATAGATTTAAACCTTAGAAAAGACTTCAACTGGTATTTCATCATCGCTGATGTTAAAACAGCCATAATTGGGGCAGACTTTCTCACGCACTACGGCTTACAAATCGATTTGAGGGCAAAATCGCTCATTGATACGCAAACCACGTTACAGTCAAAGGGTCTACTGAAAGAAGTAGCCCACGAAAATGTTTCGACAATAAATTCATCCATCAAATTCCATGACGTCATCGCAAAATATGTTGACGTAACAAATTTGAACAGGTACCAACTACCAACAACAAACAGCGTTCAACACAGAATAATAACAAATTGCCAGCCAATATCAGAACGCCCACGGCGTTTTTCAGGTGAAAAATTAAGAGCAATCAAAGATGAGTTCCGTGTATTACTACATCAAGGTATAGTAAGGCCATCCAGCAGCCCCTGGGCAAGTCCTATACATTTAGTAAAGAAAAAAACGGGTGGATGGAGAGCGTGCGGAGACTACCGAAAATTAAACGCCCACACCCAACCTGATAGCTACCCAATTGCGCACATTGATGACATAGCCGAAAGACTACACGGCAGTAATATTTTCTCTAAGATCGATATCACGAAAGCATATTATAACATACCAATGAATCCAGATGATATTGTTAAAACAGCGGTAAGCACACCAATAGGTCTGTTTGAATTTGTCGTGATGCCATTTGGTCTAAAAAATGCCACACAGACTTTTCAGCGATACATGGATTCAATATTTCGTGAATTAGATTTCGTGTTCTGTTACTTAGATGACATTCTAATATTTTCGGAAAATGACACTAAACATAGAGAACATATTGAATGTGTCCTACAAAAACTAAAAGCTGCTCTGTTGGTAATCAACAGTTCGAAATGCGAATTTGGCGTAGAAAAACTCACATTTCTTGGATACGAAATATCAGCGACAGGATTAAATCCCCCACAAGAACGAGTTGAAGTGATTAAAAATTTTACAATGCCAAGTAACATAATGGAACTTCGACGTTTCCTGGGCATTATCAATTTCTACAGAAAGTGTATTCCTAAGGCAGCACAAATGCAAGCGCCACTAAATAGTCTCTTCAAAAATTCAATAAAGAATGATAAACGAAAAATTGTTTGGACCGATCAACTTAAACAAGCTTTCCAAAAATGCAAAGATGGTATAATCAACGCGACTAAGCTCACATTTTTAGCACCTGACGCACCCATGTGTGTAACCACAGATGCATCAGACGTAGCAGTGGGTGCTCACCTACAACAACTGAACGGCGAGACATGGCTCCCGATAGCATACTTCTCATGCAAACTGAAACCATCACAAGTCAAATATAGCACGTATGATAGAGAGCTACTAGCTGTATATCTAGCAATAAAACACTTCAGGCATTTACTGGAAGGTCGAACCACCATAGTAAAAACGGATCATAAACCACTAATTTATGCTTTTCAACAAAAAATGGAGAAGGCATCCCCTCGGCAACTGCGTCATCTAAATTACATCGCGGAATTTACGACGGACATTATTTTTGTAGCCGGAAGCGACAATATAATAGCAGATACATTGTCCAGAATAAGCCAGATAAACATGCCGCTAACAATTACCACGGAAGAGATAGCAGAACAACAGAGCACTGACACAGAACTAAAGCAAATTCTAAACGGCCTGTCGTCACTAAAATTGCAAGAGCTAGTGTATCCGAATGGCGTTAAAATTTTTTGCGACACTTCTACTTTTACAGTTCGTCCTTTCATTCCTCAAACCTTAAGACGAAGAATATTCGACACAGTTCACAACTTATCCCATTCCGGAAACAGAGCAACAAAAAAACAAATAAGTCAGAAATATGTTTGGCCGTCGTTAAAAAAAGACATCACGCAGTGGACTCGAACCTGCATTGCATGTCAAAAATCAAAAATTAGTCGGCATAATCAATTTCCTCCGAAAGAATTTCAACACACAAGTCAACGATTTGACCACGTACATATAGACATTATCATAGTGCCTGAACATAAAGGGTATAGGTATTGCCTCACGATGATCGACAGGTTCACTCGGTGGCCAGAAATCGTGCCCTTAAAGGACATGTCTGCAGAAACTGTAGCAACGCAATTTTATTCAACATGGATTACGAGATTTGGTTCTCCTAAAACTATAACGACCGACCAAGGCACGCAATTTGAATCAGCACTTTTTGAGTCCCTTGGCAAACTGATAGGTGCAAAACGCATCCGAACGACACCGTATCACCCAGCATCAAACGGGATGATAGAGAGATGGCACAGATCATTAAAAGCCGCGTTAATGTGCAACAACAAGTTCAACTGGTTTGATATTTTACCTACGGTTCTCCTGGGCTTAAGAACAGCCTGGAAAGAAGACATAAATGCCTCTGCAGCTGAAATGTTGTATGGAACGACATTGAGATTGCCGGGTGAATTTTTCAAAGATGAATCTGACACAGATGATCATCAGTCATTTTTATGCAAGTTTAAAGAGTTTATTCAAAACGTTAAATCAACTCCAGCAGCGCATCACATCAAGAGAAACATATTTGTTCACAAGGATCTTTACACATGCACGCATGTATTTTTACGCATTGACCACAACAAAAAACCACTCGAACCTCCATACTCAGGTCCCTACAAAGTCATCAAACGCATTAACGACCGTCTTTTTACAATCGAAATAAATGGAACAAACAGTAATGTCGCGGCAGAGCGATTAAAACCTGCATTCACGGTTGAAGATCCACAGCAAACGAAGCCTCCACTGAAAACATATAGCAATCCAGTTAAAAGGCTAGGCACCAAAAAGCAAGTGACGTTTGCAGATACAGCACCAACATTTCCACCGTGACTAGCGCACTGAGGAGGGAGTAGCTGTGGCGTTCACTTTGCCATCTACCGGCAAAGGGAAACCAAAAATGACATTTTTGGGTTTAGGTTAAGCAGCCAACTTCAAGTTGACGCTAGTGAGAAATAAAATAGTGAATGAACAATCTAAACGTGTTTTTTATTTGTTTAATAAACTTATGGTATAAGGCCATAATATTTATGGAAGCAGGCTTAATATGTATCTGGTACTGATTATGTGATAAAATAAAACAGAAAATTTTGTTGAAGTCTGGCTGACTATACAACGCTGTTTTGAGTATTGTCAAGTATTCATCATCAGTTGTCTTAGGAAATATTCGAATTTTTTAATTAGTTTATAGTCCGTACATAATTTCTTTAAACTGCAAGTGCCAGGCTTAGAACTCGTGTCTGTCGAATTAGAAGCGATGACTAAACGTGTTTTTCCACAAATAGCCAATGCTGCACAAACTTTCAATGCTCCAGTTCCAATTTTTTTGTCACTAAAAGCTTATAGTCTGACCTGCTTAGCGAAAGTAGTTTATTTGATATTCCCTTTGCTAGAACAGAAATATCTAGAATCATCTAGAATAGATGATTAAGGCCATTGTTTGCAAACTTCTTTTTCAGCAATTTGTTGATAACTTTTCGAGTGCTCTATCAATCGAGCCCAATTAAGAATATGTGCTCTCTGCTTTTTGGGTTATGATATCCAACTATTTTAATCTCGTGTCATTCATGTCCTTGAACCTATCCTAATAACCTATCCTAGTATTGTTTTTAGTCGACTAACTCATTTAAAAGATTTACAGAACCATTTACTATATTCGCGGTTATCTTTACAAACTGGAAAGGTGTGAACTGATACGAACGGTGCTGTTTATTTACCATAATACAGAAAACTTTGTGACATGGCACTAGTGTACGTTTTATTTTTATAAAGAATTAATAAGAAATATATAAATATATATATTTTAAAAAGTTTATTTCATGTTTCATAACAAAAATACCAAAATAAAAAATTGCATTTAATTTGCATTTTGTAAACATTAGCAGATAAGTGGATTAAACTTATCTATTTCTCGATAGTTTATTATAGTATTTTTGCACTATCTTAATTACTGCACATTTCCCATTTTATTATCTGCTATATTCTACGTTACTTAATTAATTATATTTTTTTTATGTTCCAATTTATTTTTAACTGAACTGCGCATATTTTATCAGCTGAAATAAGTTCAGACGCCGAGTTGGCGGCGATCGTTAACGTCACAGAAAATTTCGCTGATAATAAAAGCAAATTCCTTGAGATTTTTGTTTGACAATAAAAATGCTAAAAATGTAGATAAACCAGATTTTTTTTCTCGATATAGTATATACAATCAATATAAATATAAACAAAGACTGGACTTCATAGTTTATTAGCATATTGTATATAAATATAATAATTCTTTAAGAAATTACGTTGAAATTAGGAACATTCGCTCGAAAAGAGGGTATAACATATATTAGACCTTATCTTAATATAAGATATTTTCTGTTATCAGCTCTTGGTTTTATTGAAGTGTGTAGAATTAACTGATATTCTAACATATTTTACTTTTATAGTAAAATAAATATGTAATAAAAATGGGTAGTTTGTTAGAAAGTACCATATACGATACATGTAGACACGGTTTCAAGAACGCATGGGTCTACATTCCGGAATGATACGGGACGTAAGTTTAGTCTAAACACAGTTAGTTAATTAGTAACTATACTATAGCTAATTATAGTTAGTAACTATACTAACTAGCTAATTAGTTAGTAACTATACTAACTAGCTAATTAGTTAGTAACTATACTAACTAGCTAATTAGTTAGTAACTATACTAACTAGCTAATTAGTTAGTAACTATACTAACTAGCTAATTAGTTAGTAACTATACTAACTAGCT